TGGGAAGTTAAGGTGGAAGGATCACTTAAGCTAAGGAATTCAAGAACAGCCTAGGCAACATAGTGAGACCCTGTCACTATTAATATTTTTTAAAAATACAAATAAATTTCAAATTGGGGTTAACGATATTATAGAAGTAATTTTTTTCTCAGCTGGGCACGGTGGCTCACGCCTGTAATCCCAGCACTTTGGGAGGCCAAGGCGGGTGGATCACGAAGTCAAGAGATGGAGACCATCCTGGTCAACATGGTGAAACCCCGTCTCTACTAAAAATACAAAAAATTAGCTGGGCATAGTGGCGCGTGCCTGTAATCCCAGCTGCTCAGGAGGCTGAGGCAGGAGAATTGCCTGAACCCAGGAGGCAGAGGTTGCGGTGAGCCGAGATCGTGCCATTGCACTCCAGCCTGGGTAAGCAAGAGCGAAACTCCATCTCACAAAAAAAATAAAAAAATTTCTCATCAAGTTTATGGAATTCTATACTTGTACAGCTGGAGTTTAAGAACTACTACTATGGAATAAGACTGCATTTTAAGGCCCAGAATGTTTTTCATTTGTTGAGATTTCCTTAAGATAAATACCCATGAGTAGTACAGCTGGGTCAAAAGGTATACACAACCATTAGTTTATGCTAAAGATGCCATCTGGCTTTCTTGAAGGGATGTACATGTCCATATTGAATGAATATACATCCATAGACCTCTTGAGTCTTTGGATCATATGGTTGGCAGGCAAAGTACCCTATAGATAGACCACCCATCCTAGCAGCTCACATTTGCTGCCACTTTATTAAATGCTGGTCATCTGGAATTGTTTATTCTTCTCGTGTTATATTCCAAGCCAGAAATAAAAGCATGAATATTCAGGTGCTGTTTACCTAATTCAGGAAGACCCCTCCCAGGAGCATGAGGAGGTCTTTTGTTGCTCTCACTCTGGAACCACTGTTTGGGTAGCCCAGGCTGCCTGCCAGACGAGGCCTCCAAGCCCAGGATTCCTCTCCTGTGTGCCCACAAAGCAAACACACGCCCCTGTTTGCCAAGTGAATCAATGGAGTCTTTGATGCTTTGAGAGAATTTGACATAGCCTGCCAATTTAGCATTCACAGAAATGGTTAAAAGATTGTGGTTTGCTGCATTTCTAGCCTAAAAAGAATCTGGCTAGTGGTGTCTGTGATGCTTTTGTATATAGAATCAGTCCCCTCAGTTTGGCTTTGGACAACATAGATATTGGAAGTAAGCCATTCATAGTAAAACATATTCAATGATTCTCACAATGGTGGCCTCTGTTTCCAATCTCAGGCTGTGTGTATCTAACAAACAATTCTAGTCTCAGTGAGCAGCCCAGTGTGTGTCAGACATGTTATTTACTCTGTGGAGGTTGTCTTAACCTCACAGATCAGCTAGATGATCATTTGTGTGGGGTTCTTCTGACCCCACCCCCCCACCCCCCCCAGCACTGTGAGCTCACTGACAGGGGCTCTAGCTCCATGTTGTTGCCCACTGCTGTCTCTAAGGAGGAATCTAAGAAGAACTTAGATTCACCAGGGGGCTTCAAGGATTCTAACAAACAAGAAAGGCTGAAACTGCCCATGTCTCTTCCCTCATAGATATGGATCCCACAAGATTTCACTTGGGGGAGAAAAAGCTCCACAGCTAAAAGTATTTTCACATCCATTGAGTGACAACTAAGGTCCTTTCCACCTCGGACCTCTCCCCTTTAAAAACAGAATGTCAAAACCAGGCCCTGCCATGTCCTGGTTTGGGACAGACTGGCTGAGCTGTTTGGCTTCCTGGGTACCTTTTAATTGCCAGTTTTTAGCCCCTTGGGTACTCTGTTCAGTGCATCCGTTTTCCTTGAGAAGCCGGCACCCCCTTCCCAGAGTACTGGTGGGATCTGAGGAATGAGCTGGGGTTGCCCAGTCGATGCAAGTATCCTGCCTCAGCTTCCTAGAGAGTAGCTCCTACAGTATTCTTGGAATGAAAGCTAAAAACTGGAACAGGATCTATTTGATAAACAGCTGTCATTTGTAGCCCCCCTCCAGATGACTAATGGCAGAGTGTTCTCTGATGGAAATATCAACACTCAGATTCCCAGCCCCAGCAGGTTCCTTTTCCTCAACCCCGCAGGTTACTGCCCTATTGAACCCTTGTTTCTCAGAGGATCACTGAAGAACAAATAGTTGAATTCAGTAGTCCTTGTGCATCTTCTCTCTACCTTCATGAAGCCACCCTTGGTGTTTTTATATGACCATCCACTGAGAGAGACAGCCTGATGGAGATAACATCTAGGTTTCACTTCTGATGGAGCCATTTTTTTTCTCTACAGCTTCTAACCTTACCACTATTATTTCCCCTAGATTGATGCCAAGAAGGAACAGCTAGCAGACGCCCGAAGGGACCTGAAAAGTGCTAAGGCTGATGCCAAGGTCATGAAGGATGCAAAGACCAAGAAGTATGTACTTGGTATTGTGAAAGTCGGGGGCTGGTAGAGAAAAGTTTGCGTAGCATCTGTCAGAGGCCCTGGGGTTCCAGCTTTTCTATGGTTTCTGAGTGATAGCTTTTTTTTTTTTTTTTTTTTTTTTTTTTGGAGACGGAGTTTTGCTTTTGTTACCCAGGCTGTGGAGTGTATGACACGATCTTGGTTCACCGCAACCTCCACCTCCTGGGTTCAGGCAATTCTCCTGCCTCAGCCTCCTGAATAGCTGGGATTACAGGCACACGCCACCATGCCCAGCTAATTTTTTTTTTTTTTTGTATTTTCATTAGAGACGGGGTTTCACTCTGTTGACCAGGATGGTCTCGATCTCCTGACCTTGTGATCCACCCGCCTCGGCCTCCCAAAGTGCTGGTCTGAGTGATATCTTTTGGAAATCTCTGTACTTGGGCTTTTATTGACGCTAAGTGGCAGGATGGGTACAGTGTGCTTTTGTCTTGAGCCCAGGCCTGGTTCTTGAGGACTCTGCTATTCTTCTAGGGTAGTAGAGTCAAAGAAGAAGGCTGTGCAGAGACTGGAGGAACAGTTGATGAAACTAGAAGTTCAAGCCACAGACCGAGAGGAAAATAAACAGATTGCCTTGGGAACCTCCAAACTCAATTATCTGGATCCTAGGATCACAGTGGCTTGGTAAGTGTTGAGCCCTCTTGAGCTCCTACTGTTAGCTTGAGAACGGTGGAGGGGGTTTCGAGGGCACTGGTGGCCTTCACATGCCATTCCTAAGTTGTACACTTCTAGTCCTATGGGGAAACTTCTCGCTTCAGCTGTGTACAGGGTACTCTGGTTGCTGAACTTTGTCTGTAAATGCATTGCAACATCCTGGATGGTCCTAAATGATGGTCAGTGCTGTCATACTGCCTTGTAGTGTATGTTATGCTTTTAAGAGGCAGGTGCTATCCCTATTCCTTATGGAATTTTAGGACAGGAATGGAAACTCAGCCTCTGGAAAAATAGGAAAGAGCCCATATATCTATACCCTTCAATAGAACTTTTCGTTAATTTTTTTGCAGTTGAAGGTAGGAACAAGAGATAAAAACAAAGATGAGAATACAAACAGAGAGGTAGAGGGACCTATAACAAAGGCATATAAATATTGGGGTCTCTGTGTGTCACACTGGAAACAAGTGGCTTTGTTTTGGAAGATGTTGAGTTTGCCCTGTTAAGTTCCAGGCATAGGTGGAGATATCCTCCCCTAGGGCACTTGCTAGTCCAGGCCAAAGGTTCCACATAGCTCTTTTGTACCTCTTTCTGCTCATTTTGCCTTGTTTGGTGTTAGAGGTGTGATTAGTTCTTGAAAGGCTATATAGTATAGTGGTTAATAATACAGAGAAAAACTGTTTGGGTTCAAATTTCAGGTCACATATCAGCTAGCTGTGTGAGAAAATAAGTAAATTACCTAACGTCTCCGCCTCAGTGTCTTCATCTGGCCCTTTTTCACTTGTACATCTGCAGAATCACCTACTTTAGAGATCACCGTCAAGATTAAATGAGTTGATCACATGAAACCCTTAGAACATGGTTGGTGCACCATTAATTTGCATTCTCACTAGACAGATGTGAAAGAGAAGATGGCACATGAGACCCCAGGCCTCAGATCTGGGCCATTGCTGAGTCACACTAATCCTCCTTATTTCTCCTTTATTTGCAGGTGCAAGAAGTGGGGTGTCCCAATTGAGAAGATTTACAACAAAACCCAGAGGGAAAAGTTTGCCTGGGCCATTGACATGGCTGATGAAGACTACGAGTTTTAGCCAGTCTCAAGGGGCAGAGTTCTGTGAAAAGAACAGTGTGGTTTGGGAAAGATGGATAAACTGAGCCTCGCTTGCCCTCGTTTCCGGGGGAGAGAGGCAGCAAGTCTTAACAAACCAACATCTTTGCGAAAAGATAAACCTGGAGATATTATAAGGGAGAGCTGAGCCAGTTGTCCTATGGACAACTTATTTAAAAATATTTCAGATATCAAAATTCTAGCTGTATGATTTGTTTTGAATTTTGTTTTTATTTTCAAGAGGGAAAGTGGATGGGAATTTGTCAGCGTTCTACAAGGCAAATTCACTGTTTCACTGAAATGTTTGGATTCTCTTAGCTACTGTATGCAAAGTCCGATTATATTGGTGCGTTTTTACAGTTAGGGTTTTGCAATAACTTCTATATTTTAATAGAAATAAATTCCTAAACTCCCTCCCCTCTCCCCCATTTCAGGAATTTAAAATTAAATAGAAAAAAAAAACCCAGCGCACCTGTTAGAGTCGTCACTCTTTATTGTCATGGGGATCAATTTTCATTAAACTTGAAGCAGTCGTGGCATTGGCAGTGTTTTGGTTCAGACACCTGTTCACAGAAAAGCATGATGGGAAAATTTCCTGACTTGAGTGTTCCTTTTTAAATGTGAATTTTTATTTCTTTTTAATTATTTTAAAATATTTAAACCTTTTTCTTGATCTTAAAGATCGTGTAGATTGGGGTTGGGGAGGGATGACGGGCGAGTGAGTTTAAGGATAATGAAATAATCAGTGACTGAAACCATTTTCCCATCATCCTTTGTTCTGAGCATTCGCTGTACCCTTTAAGATAGCCATCTTTTTCTTTTTAACCCTAATCTTTCACTTGAAAGATTTTATTGTATAAAAAGTTCCACAGGTCAATAAATTCAGAGGAAAATGAGTATTTGGTCCAAAAAAAAGGAAAAATAATCAAGATTTTAGGGCTTTTATTTTTTCTTTTGTAATTGTGTAAAAAATGGAAAAAACAAAAAGCAGAATTTTAATGTGAAGACATTTTTTGCTATAATCATTAGTTTTAGAAGCATTGTTAGTTTAGTGTGTGTGCAGAGTCCATTTCCCACATCTTTCCTCAAGTATCTTCTATTTTTATCATGAATTCCCTTTTAATCAACTGTAGGTTATTTAAAATAAATTCCTACAACTTAACGGAAACTTAAGTGTCCGCCTCTTTGTTACGAAGGGCCTCAGGGCAGAGTTGGGACTGGGACTTAGTGTGGGATGAGGTCTCACCACTCAGGTCAGCAAGAGTAGATTCCCCCAGGAGCAGATGAGGCAGGACCTGGCCTGGAAAGGGGTGTGCCTGTCCTGCTGCTGTGGATGTCGGTTGAAGGGGATCCAAAGTCCATATCCTTAGATAAAGACAAGGAAAGAAAGAAAGGTGCAGAAAATCCACAGTAAGAGGTGGAATGCAAAGACAGTATCAGAGGCCTAGCGTAGGTAAGGTTTATTGAGCAAGATGTTGCAGCTATATTTGAGAGTCAAATTTTTTGAGAGCTTTCCATGTGTACTGGCCGGAATCAGAAGGGAGCGGCTTTGGGTTTGCTCATGTGGCTAAACTTAAAATCAGAATGGGGAGAATTAAGAGTACCAGATTCTAGAAGCCCCTTCCCAGGTGGAATGCAAACTACTCCCTGCATTGACTGCTTAAGAAAGAGGCATTGTGATCTTTGACCACTTTCTGGTGCTCCAGATACTCTAGCTGGCTGTGGTCTCTAAAAAAGTTGTTCCTTTGCTCATCCTAACTTAAAGCTAAGTCTGGAATTTGGAATGAAAGGTGAGGTCTCTAGGTTAAATGGACTACAGGTAGCAGGAAGGCCAGAAGCGTCAGAATTAGTAAATTAATGGAAGGGCCCTGGGCCCTCCAGCTTGTTAGCATGAGCAGGTGTCTTTGGGGAGGCAAACTCATGGTCTCTGTTCTCCCTGGGGCTGGGGGCAGGGCTGGTTACTAGGCCCACAATAAAGAATCCTGGAGGTCCTTGGCAGCCTGTATTTTAGCCAGTGAAAGAGGCAATATTCATCCCAGGGAATAAAGGGGGCTATGTAGCCATCACTGCTTTGGAGCAAGGGACTCCAGCCAGGTGTTTTTGAAATCTCTGTTGAGGTAGCTGGACCACTAAATGTACGGAATACAACAGAGAGGCTCTTTTGGTACCCATTTAATATACTGGCTGGTTGGGTAAGTAGGTAGGTGATAAGTGGACCTCAGATGCCACAGCTAGGGGACAAACTTTAGTCTACAACTAGAAGTCAGGTAAGGTGGCCTTGCAGGCAGAAGACCTTGCTGATGATCAGGAAGTAATGTCTACCTCTCTGGCAAGGACCTCCCTTGCAAGTCTGAGGGCAGATGCTGGGCAGCAAGAGGCTGGTCAGCACAACTGAGAAGGGCATCCTAGACAGTGGCAGCAGGCCTGGGAGACCAAAGCCAGAGAATGGGGAAGCTGACCTGGCCACTGGGGATGAGAAAAGAGGCTGAATAGGTAGGTGGGGACCTTGAAGGATGCTTGCACCAGGAGTCCAGAGTAAACTTACCCCCTTGCCTAGTCCGGTAGGTTTTATTTCCAGCCACGTCCAAGAATAGGCCAGATGAGCAGGGTTTGAGAAACTCCCTCCCATCAGGCCTTTGTATGATGCCTGAGTTTGGCGTGGGCAAAGAGCTTCCACGTGCTCCCCAAGCCAGATACCTGTGTGCAGACTTGGCTCCTCTCTTCCCTTATCTCACCTTCACCTCCCACCCCCCATATCTGGCCAGCAAGTCCTGTCTGTCCATTCTCCCTGCCAAAAGCTGTCAAATTTCAGGCTCTGCTACATTAAAATATGGAGAAAAAAAGAAAAAAAAAAACTTGACAATCCTCAGCCCTTTCCAGCCACTACCTCTTTTTTCCCAAACAAGCACCTGCAATGAGTCATCTACACCATCCAGTCATTCCCCCACCCACTGTAATTAGCTTCTGTCCCATCAGCCTGCAATTCCTTCTCTTCACTCTAACCACTCTCACCAATGACTAAGTGACCAAGCCAATACATGGGCTGTCCATTCTGCATCTCACACTCTTTGTGGCACTGGATACTGTTGACCACTCTTTCAACCATTTTGAGGATACAAAGATTTTTAGTAACTTTGCTGTGTGGTGCAACTGTCAACCATAAATCAATTTTAGGACATTTTCATCTCCCTGGAAGATCCTTCATGCTCATTTACAATTAACCCACATTCCCACTCACAGCCTCCACTAACCTTTCTAAATTTACATTCTAAACATTTTGTGTACATGGAATCATTCGATATGTGATCCCTCCCTGCTCAAAACACTTCTCTCTGATTTTCACAATGCCATCCTCTCCTGGTTTTACTCCTGTCCCTATCAGGCTTTTTCTAAGTCACCTCTTCTATCAGGTCCTGATTGCCATGATTCTTACCTCACTCAGTATAGCTGATTTCATTTGCACCTAAAGGTGATGACTCCTCTTTCCTTCTAGCCTAGAGCCCTTTCTGAGATCCAGACACATTGTCAACTACATCTCTGCAAGACATGCCCATGGGCACCTAAGTCTGTGCGTCTTGGGAACTGAGCTTAGTACCTACCACCCCAAGCCTGTTGGGCCTGGGCTTCACAGCTCAGTGAAGGGCACCACATCCACTCTGTCCCCCAATCCAGAAATGAGGATGGCCACCATCCTTCATTCCTTTCATTTCCACACTCAGTAAATTACTCCAAAATCATCTCCTAAATACCATATATAGTACATATCTATTTATAATAGAAAATACTATAGGTATTTTCCCTGCCCAAAAAAATAATTTTTTTTCTGAGAAAATTTTACTCCTTAGAAAATCCTCAAATAATGAGACGCTGTCAACTTGTTTTGAAACAAAAAGCACTTTTTAGAGAAAACACATTGCCCTAAAATGACCTCAGTCCAGCCAGTTTTGGATGCTTATAAGTAGTCCCCTGATAAAACTCAGTGTTAAGGAGAGAAGAAATTTAACATAGACTTAGTAATTATTTCTCACAATTCCAAGAATTCCATGTACGCCAGCCTCTTAAAGATCACTAAATAGCAAAACTTTAGATTTTATAATTTTACTGTGTATATGTGTGTATGAGTGTGTAAATATATATACACAATTTTTTTCCCCCCTGAGATAGTCTCACTCTGTCACCCAGGCTGGAGTGCAATGGCGTGGTCTCAGCTCACTGCAACCTCCACCTCCCAGGTTCAAGAGATTCTCCTGCTTCAGCCTCCTGAGTAGCTGGGACTATAAGTGTGTGACACCACGTGCAGTTAATTTTGGTATTTTTAGTAGAGATGGAGGTTTCACCATGTTGGCCAGGCTGGTGATCTGCCCACCTTGGCCTCCCAAAGTGCTGGGATTACAGGAGTGAGCCACTGCGCCCAACCACAAATGTTTTTAAATAAGTCTTAGGCCAGGAGTGGTGGTTCTTGTAATCACAGCAGTTTGGGAGGCCAAGGCAGAAAGATCACTTGAACCTGGGAGCCCAAGGCTGCAGTAAGCTGTGACTGCACCACAGTAATCCAGCTTGAGAGTGAATACACACACACACACACACACACACACACACACGTCTTTTAGAAAAACAGATAGTAATGGATAGCATGATAGAGTTGAGATGAGATTTGGGTCAAAATACTATGGGAAGGGATAGTGGGTAGAATTTGGCATGAAACACGAGTGGCCACCAATTCATTATTGAAGCTAGATGATGGGTACATGGGCGTTCACTATACTCTTATACACATTTGAGAATTTTTTCTTTTTGAGACAGTCTTGCTTTGTGGCCCAGGCTGGAGTGCAGTGACACAGTATCGACTCACTATAACCTCTGACTCCCATGTTCAAACGATTCTCCTGCCTTAGCCTGCTGAGTAGCTGGGGTTACAGGCATGTGCCACCATGTCCAGCTAATTTTTTGTATTTTTAGTAGAGAAGGGATGTCATCACATTGGCCAGGCTGCTCTTGAACTTCTGACCTCAGGTTATCCACCCACCTCATCCTCCCAAAGTGCTGGGATTTCAGGCATAAGCCATTGCACCTGGCCCAGCCACCATACCAGGCCAAGATTTTTCTTAAAAAAATGTTTATTTAGACACAGGGTCTTATCTCTGTTGCCCAGGCTGGAGTACACTGGTGTGATCATAGCTCACCTCAGCCTCAAACTCCTGGGCTCAAACAATCCTTCAACTTCCTGAAGAGCTGGAACTACAGGTGCATGACACCATGCCCAGCTAATTTTTTTATTTTTATATTTTTACAGACAAAGTCTCACTATGTTGCCCAGGCTGGTCTCCAACTGTTGGGCTCAAGCAGTCTTCCTGCTGCAGCCTCCCCAGATGCTGAGATTACAGGTGTGAGCTACTATGCCCAGGAGAGATTTTTCATAAAATGCTTAAAGCAATACAGTAACTGGTTATTTTGAAGATTATTAATATATATCTATGGAGGAAATCGGGGGGAAAGCAATGTTTTATGTTATACTAAAAGGTAATTACGCTTAGGTTACAATTTTCAGTGATAACATCATATTACTAATTCATAAAGTATTCTCTTTGCTGCAACGTGGATAAATCTTAGTAACATGCTGAATATAGACAAGAATACATACTGTATGATTCCATGTATGTGAAATTCCAGAATAGACAAGACTCATCTGTAGTGACAAAGTCAGTCAGTGATTGCTAGATGGGAAGGAGATTGACTGCAAAGGGGCACCAGGAAACATTTTGGGGTGATGGAAATATTCTCTATCTTGATTGGGTGGAAGTTACATGAGGGTATACATTTGTCAAAGCACAAATTTTACACTTAAAAATGGATGTATTTTATATGTGAATTATTCCTCAACAAAAATGATTTTTTAAGTAAAACATTTAAGTAAAAAAAGTTGTTTGCTCTCTCAAACAACTTAGAAGGGAGGAAAAGTGATGATGTGCTTTGAGAGATTATATTAGATGACTCAAAAAGCAACTCATGGTGAAAATACATAGAAATCCAAGACTCATGTAAAAAGTTGAATATAATTTATTACTGAAAATAGAGAAAAATCAATATTTGTGAATCAATATATTGGTTTAAATGTGTGATTTAAAGTATGTACATGTAACTAAATAAACTGTTGTATGTGGACATTTGCATCTCTAAAACTGTTTCTATTTTAGTTGCCAAAAAAAAAAAAACACACAAAACAACTTGAAAATGAGTGCAGTGGCTCACGCCTGTAATCCCAGCACTTTGGAAGGCTGAGGCGGGCAGCTCAGAAGGTCAGGAGATCGAGACCATCCTGTCTAACACAGTGAAACCTCGTCTCTACTAAAAATAGAAAAATTAGCTGGGCATAGTAGCTCGTGCCTGTAATCCCAGCTACTCAGGAGGCTGAGGCAAGAGAATCACTTGAACCAGGGAGTGGGAGGTTGCAGTGAGCCAAGATGGAGCCACTGCACTCCAGCCTAGGGACAGAGTGAGACTCCATCTCAAACAAAAAAAAAGAAAATGAGTGTCTTATATCTGGAGTGGCTATTTCTTTCAGGCATGTACAGTCTCTCACTTTGCTCTATCCCCACAGCCACTATCAGGTCTCAATAAAGCCAAATGTCCCTTCCCAGTGCTCCAGGGGTCCCCATCACACTGAGTTTTCATGGTCTGTTGGCATTTCTGTACCCCACTGCTAGAGTGGGAACTTGGTCTGACTCAGCTGTGCTGTATTAGTGCTTGTGCTCTAAAGGAGGCATTGGTGAAGCATGCTGCAAGGAGGAGAGAAACAGGAAAAAGCAAGTCTGTCCTGGCCTGGGCCAGGGGCTAGCAAGGGTTTTCCCCTTCTCTTCCTTTATTGCCATATGTCACCTCAGTGATATGATCACAGTGTCCCTGCCACCCCCCAGAAGAAGGTACATCTGCAGCCCACTGGAGAACCTCAACATCTGGGTCCCACTATGGGGGCCAATTAGCAGAGAGACAGCAAGGTCAATGGAGAGAGCAGTCCCTGGAAGCAGCCGAGCTAGGTATGATTTTGCTTTGAGAGAACACAGGAGGCTCTTGCAGGACAGAAAATACATCCCAGGTGAGGAGGAAAGCAGGTGGACATGACCTAAGAAGTGTGAGACCTGATGACTAAATTGGAGCCACAGATAGATTTAAGGGCCGGGGGTCAGGAGCCTAAACAGCAGGTTGTGGGTGGAGTTCAAGGTGCACTGAGATTAGTTCTTAGGGAGTAGTACTGGCTGTGTGATGAGGTGCAGGCTGGCTCACAAACCCAGAGGAGGGGCTGTTCAGATGTCTAACACGAGAAACAGTAAAAATTAAAGAATGGTTTAAAGAAAAAGGACAATGTTTTACAGGTGGATTGAATTAGACACTGCAAGACTATAAATCTGCTCCCTTCGAATGTGAGAAGGGCTTCATTGAGCTAGACTTTTATATTATGCCTTCGATATTCACTCAAGGCTGTTACAAGGAAACAGCATCAGCATTTGCTATTCATCAGTTGTGAACATAATCCACTATTTCAATCAAATAAGTATCCAGGTGAGAAACTTTTTATAATTAGCCCCAGAAAATTTTTTTGCCCCAAGGAACCAATTAACAGAATAGAAAGAGTTGTTTTGGCTACCAAGAAACTCAGCCATGTTTAATTCTCAGTCACATCAGCTACGTTAACCCATAAACTATATTACAGTCCTCCTTATAATTTCATCTCCTGTTTCTATATTTTGTTCTCTATTTTTAAGTACTCAAACTTTTTTAAAGGGCTGAAAAAGAATACATTTGTGATAGACATAGCAAGTGCCACCCAGATCCCTTTCAAGGAAGGACTTGTTGACCCAACTATTGGGAGAGTGGTCAGCAGAAAATCTTCAGCTGTCAGCCCCTGGAAGGTTACCTTGGCTGCAGAGAGCCCTCTGGCCCAGGCTGGGCTCTTCCCAGGGCCCTTCCAGGCTAGTGGCAGACAGCAGAGATCCTGGGGGTTGGCTGAGACTGCCATCAGGCCTGCGTCTCAGTTTAGTTTTCCCTGTGCCCATTCCTGTTTCTTTCCAGTACCTCCCAGAGTATTGATCCCAGGGGCACTCCTTAATAAATGTGCTGTACACTAACCTGTCACAGAGTCCGAGTCCAAAGAACCCAATCTGTGACAGATAAAAAGATTCGGGAGGCTGAGGCAGGAGAATCGCTTGAACTCGGAAGGCAGAGGTTGCAGTGAGTCAAGGTCGCCCCGTTGCACTCCAGCCTGGGCAACAAGAGAGAAACTCCGTCTCAAAAAAAAAAAAAAGAGAAAACATATCAGGTAGGGGTATTTTACAAGGGGAGAGGATATACAATAAAGTGTTCACACATACACGGCAAGCAAAACAGCATTGACTCTGGGGCCAGACTACCTGGGTTTGAATCCTGCCCTTTAGCTCTGTGCCTCAGTTTTTTCATCTGGAAAATGGGGATAATAAGAGCACTTATAGGGCTGTAATGAGGAAGAAATTAGACAATGTGGATAAAGCAGTTCCTTAGTGTTTACTATATGCCAACCACTGTTCTAAGTGGTCATTTAATAAACAGCTGTGAGGCCAAACCCACAGGGCCAGAGGGGCAGTTGGGCCGAGACTCTCCCCAGACTCTGGGCACAGGCACAAGTACGGCGTAGACCCGGGTATGTCGAAGCATGAGTGTTCACAGAAATAGGCCCGAGCAGGGCTAGCCTGGGTGACATCACAAGCGTGTCCCTTGTGTGGGTGCTGGGCTGCTCCTCCCAGACAGCGCAGCAGCACGTATTGCCAGTCACACCCACGCATCCATATATATGCTGAGCTGGGGGAAGCCCACACAGACCACACCCTCTGTGTGCCCTGTTTTTCTTGAATCTCCTTTGGTGGAAGGAGGCACCTGAGACCTGGGATGCTGGCCCAGAATTCCAGGAGGAAATGGGCCCTGTTCCCTGATTACAGGCCTGGCAACAGGCTGAAAACTCAAGCTCTTGTTGGCAGGGATTTCTTGAGACCGTGGAGGTCCAGCTCCAGAGGCAAAAGTAAAAGCAAGGAAACCTTACACTGCATGTTGGAAGCTCCCCAAAAAATGGAGAAACAGATTTTAAAAGTGCATCACAGCCCACAGGCTGCCCAAGTCAGCACAGGAAGCTCGATGAGGGCTGCAGCACTTAGGGGGTGCCCCCTGGAAAAAACAGGATCAGACAGCCAGAGAGGGACCCCATACAGCCCCTGCCCACCTTCCTGGATCATCACTCCCTATCTCCTCCTAAGTCAGGAAACTCTAGCTTTCTTTGTAACCCTAAATTCAACAACCTCTTCCTGGCCTCAGGGCCTTTGTATGTGCTATTACCTCTGCTTGTAACATTCATTTCTCCAACCCACTTTAATAATTCACATTGCCATCCACTCACTTCCTTTAGGCCTGCTGAGTTCTGAAGGGATCTCTCTAATGTTTTTTCTCCTAGCCCTCATCACAATTGTCTTTTTTTTTTCTTGAGACAGAGTTTTGCCCTTGTTGCCCAGGCCGGAGTGCAATGGCGTGATCTCGGCTCACTGCAACCTCCACCTCCCAGGTTCAAGGGATTCTCCTGCCTCAGCCTCCCCAGCAGTTGGGCTTACAGGTGCCCACCACCACGCCTGGCTAATTTTTGTATTTTTGGTAAAAACGGGGTTTCACCATATTGGCCAGGCTGGTCTCCAACTCCTGACCTCATGAGCTGCCCACCTTGGCCTCCCAAAGTGCTGAGGTTACAGGCTTGAGCCACCACTCCTGGCTTCACAATTGTCTTTACTTAACAGAGTGTTTGTTTAATGTCTGAACTCTCGGAGAGCTGGCGCTGGGTCTCTCTCGTGCTCCTAACTCATGTTGTCAATGCCCAACACCGGGAAGAGCAGGGTCCACAGAACTTTAAGCCTAGGCCAGTCTAAGCCACACTCTGTGAGCACTTACATTCTGCTAGATTCCCTGTGCCCAAGGCCAGCGGTGGGCATGCCTCCCCTCATCCATGCTGATGAGCCAGCTAGCCTCCATGCCCACTGACTACTGGCCACCATCAGGACTTACCTAAGCCAGTGGATCTACTGTGAGGCAGAAAACTCATGGAGTCAGGCTGACTTGGGTTCTAATTCCCACCTGTTAGTTATGTGGCTTTGGGAAAAGTTGTAGAACTTCTATGACTCTGTTTCCTCACCAGTAAATTGGGGACCATCCCTCCTGATTAGAGGATAATTATGAGGATCAGGTGTGACCACACGTGCATGCCTTCAGCACCCAGCGAGGCACGTGGTCAACGCTAGCTCCCACCTGTCCCCATAAAGGCCTGCCACTAGGTGGCAGTTCATCTCAGCTACCCAACAGCTCCTTATGCCACGGAAGCTGGCTAGGACAGTGTCTCCATGTCATGCTGAATTCTGAGCTTCTTAGAGGACGAACTTGAGGAAATCAACAGAACACACAGGTTGCCACTACAGCAAGACAAAGTCAGAGACAGCAGCCCCAGGTCACTATCCAGCTGGGTGGGTTGCCTGAGCACACAGTCTTACACACTTAGAAACTCCAGTCTAGTCCTACCATCTCACCAATCCCAGGAAGCCTGGCTCTTTCTCTGGCATCAGCTGGAAGCTCTGTTGGGCTTCTCACCTCTGAAATGCAGTAAGTTGTCCTGCTGCGTCTGGCAGCCGACCCACTGCCTGGCTCAACGTGTCAGACAGGCTCCACCGTGACCGTGGGTGTCCTCAATTTTGGTGGTGCTGACAGGAGTAGATAGATTGCAGGGAGGGGTGAGTTTCAAGAATGGCTTCAGAAAGACAGAGTACGAATTATTCCATAACCAGAAAAAGGCCTTGTGGCTGGAGACTGGAGAGTGAAGGGTCACCTGTGAGAGATGAAACCGATCCTATAGAACCTGCTGGGCCAAGCAGGGAGTGTGGATTTTAGGTGCAATGGGAATTCATGGAGGGTTTTAGGCTGGATGTAGCAGACCATGATTTAATTTCATTTAAAAATTTTAAAGCATGGAGAATAGATCCAGGCAAGACCAAACAGAATAAATAGTCTGGGTGACAGGAGATAGGGCCTTCAGCTTGTGGGTTGAGTGAACAAGTCATGATGGATTGGAGGTGAGGGAGAGAGATGAATCAAAGTTATCTGCAAGGTTTTTGGCCTTGCAACGTAGAGGGGTTTAGCGCCACGTTCTGATAAAGTGAAGACTATGGAAGGAACCTTTAGGGAGGGAAGGTCAGTCGCCTAAGCGGGGATGTGGAACGTAGGGGAGCCACAGGTTTGAAGTCATCGGTGCCTTTGTGGTGGGTAAAGTCAGGGGAAAGGTCAGGTAGCCTTGGGATCTGACCTAGCACTGAGTACAGAGGAACAGAAGCTTCTGAGATCGATGGGCAGCGGCCACAGGAAGGGAAAGCAAGGCGGGGAAAATAAAAGTTCAGGAGAGCATTTGCAGGAGGGACGCTGTGAGGTAGGGTCTGAGCCCGCGCCCCGGATCGGACCCAAGTCCTGCTCGTGGGGACTGAGCGTGAGTGGGGCGAGCAGCGGCCCATGCGAGGGACAGACACCAAGGCCCTGGGAGCTGCAGGTCAGGCCGCTTAACAGCGCGGCCGCGGACCTAAAGGCCCTACAAGAGGTGCTCACGCTTGGGGGGAACTCTCTGAACGAGAGGACCATTGAAGGACACCCTGGCAGCAGAGACGAAACAGACAGACGTGGGGTCAGGTCGTCGCAAGAGCGGCCTGCGGGCCAGCCCCGCACTACCAGGGGGAGGGGGCGGGACAGGCTGGCTGTCCATCAGTGCCCGCGGCCAATCCGCAGGCGGCCCCGCCCCCGCCCCTCCCAGGAGAGGGCGCGCGGAGGACCCGCCGCCGCCGCCGCCGCCGCCGCGGGTGTGAGCGGCCCGGCCTGTCTCCCTTCGCTAGGAAGCCCGCCCAGGTAACTGGGTTTGGCCAGGCATGCCCGGGGAGTGCGTCACCCCCTCACGTCCCGTCCCGGTCGCTGCATGGGCGGTGTTCGGGACGCGGGGGTTGCGTCTGTGCAGAACCGCGGGCTGGCGGCCGCCCGTGCGAGTGCGCCTGACTGACGCGCCGACCGCGGGGCCTGCGGCCTGTGGGCGGGGCTGCCGTGCGTGACGGGGTCGGTCGTGGCCGCCGAGCTGTGTCCCGGGCCGCGTGAGGAAGCCCTGCGGGACTGAGGGCTGGGTGGGTCGACCGGGAACGGCGCGCGCTCCCGTCGCCATCGTGCCCCCGTCCCTGCCTGCGGCCTGTCTGGGGGTCCCGGAGCGCAGGCGCGGCGGGCCGGCGGGCGGGGGTCCTCCCCACGGGTGCGCGGGCGCCTTTGTTCCCGGCGGCTAGCCGGGCGGAGCCTCAGGGCCGCCCCGCCCCGCCGCGCTCAGGCCCCGCCCCTGTCCGCCTGCAGGAGCTGCCGCCGGGTCCCGCTCGTCGGCTGCCTCAGCCTCTGCCCCAACCTCTGCTGCCGCCTGCTCCCGGGCCGTCCCGGCCTGCGCCGCTGCCGCCCCCAGCGTCAGAGCCATGGCGGGCGCCGCGTCCCCCTGCGCCAACGGCTGCGGGCCCAGCGCGCCCTCGGACGCCGAGGTGCTGCACCTCTGCCGCAGCCTCGAGGTGGGCACCGTCATGACTTTGTTCTACTCTAAGAAGTCGCAGCGACCCGAGCGGAAGACCTTCCAGGTCAAGCTGGAGACGCGCCAGATCACGTGGAGCCGGGGCGTCGACAAGATCGAGGGGGCCAGTAAGTGCGCCCCCTTCCCGCCTGGGCCCGCCGCGAGCGGAGGTGGTAGGGGCCGGGCCCGTCTGTCCGCGCTCGGGTCGGCCGCCCGGGAGACTTGGGCAAACTTTCCGGCTCTCATCCACTCCCTCCGGGCCCCGCCCCCGCTTCGTCTCGGGTGGTCACTGGGGGCGGGGGGCATCCGGGTCCTCGGTCACCTGACAGGACACCCCCTCTCCCAGCTGGGGGGAGTGTTCCAGGCACTTTGTCCTGAGGCCTAAAAATCCTCGGGGGCTGGAGACCCGCGGTGCCGACGTCAGGTCCCCCAACCACTGGGAGTGGTGGCGGCGTCGGCGAGGGGAGCCAAGGCAGCGGCCCCCACCCAGCCGGGGAACTTGGGGCCTGACCAGACAGTCCCCGTCCACCACTCTTTCTCCAGAAAGAGCAGTCTGTGAAACTGGGCCCCCAGGCTGGGCTGTTATTTGCAAAGGAACTTTTGGGTTTCCTAAGTAGAACTTAGGCAGATGTTGGGGGAAGGGCTGGTCTTGGAGCAGAGCCCGGCCTACTCATCTCCCTCTGGGGGAGAGGGAGGAAGGTGGTCTTGTTTGGTTTGGAGAAACCTGAGAGAAGGCAGTGGCTGGTTTATTGTTATTGTTATTGTTATTGTTATTGTTATTTGCTGCTACTTTTGTCCCAAAGCTGAGTTTTGGAGGCCTGTGTGGGTGGGCAGACACCCAAAGCCAGAGCAGGGACTCCCCTTGCCCTGGGAAGCACATTCCCAGGAGATGAGCCCCGTAAAGGCCTGCCCCAGTGCCTTGGAGTCAGGTACTCTTCTCAAGAGTGCAGCCAGTTTGGAGTCTAGCCCTTTGTCCTCTGTCCGGTGGCATCAGGGAGCTGGAGCTCTTGGTTTCCTGCCTTTTCGCCTTCCCAGGCCTGAGCTTGGCTGCTTTAGCGCTGGCCTCTAGTGGGAGGAGGGAATTGGGGGATTGTGAAAAACCCCAGATTTTTCAGAGTTGTTCCACTTATCGTGTGCCTGTGCTGTGGCCAGAGGGGCACTCTGCTCAGCCCTCCATTCCCCCCCTGTCAGTGTGAAGAGATGATGTGTCTGCAACTCCAGACTGGGTTGCTTCTTGCAGGGACCCCTGGAGACTGGGGTTAGAGAGACCCAGGCTCAGAACCAGGTCTGTGTGAAGGAGGGGTTCAGGAAGTGACACTCCAAGGGGGGGGTCCCGCAAACCTTGGGTATGGTGTGCATGTGTGTAGATGGGCGAGGAGATTGGGAGGAAGGAAGGTCTTGTGGTGAGGCAGCCATCCTCGGCTACAAACTCCAAATCTGACACAGATCTAACACAGCTGCTCAACTTAGAAATGGCAGCCGCCTTCCTCAGTGCCCTCACTGACCCTGTCAGCCATTGGGAGAACATTTTAGTGACTTGAGAGCCCGTGGATTCCAAAGTGAAGGAAGGATAGATAACTGCAAAGAACTGAGTTAACTCTGGGAACATTACTCAGGCATCAGACTCCAGGCATAGTCCCTTTCCTTGCTCTCTCTGCTATGTTGAGTCGGTGGCCCTGGATGGAAGTTCTCTCAGATCTCCTGGGTAACTGACTGCATTTTAAACCATGCATATTATCAGCAGGCAAAAAATGTAGCACAGTGTTTGATGGCCAGTCTGGATTTGGAGCCCATGTATTCATTGTATGTTTCCCGGCCAGACCTTCTCTGAGCCTTGATTTTCTTATCTATAAAATGGGGGTAATAATATATCCACTCTGTATGGTTGCTCCAGGGATTAAATGAGACAATTCATGTAAAACATCTAGCATTGTCTGATACATAAATGTTTAATAAATGTGAGCTGTTATTAATAATAACAATAGACCATGGCTGCCCTTCAAGACCCTGGACTGGGAATGGTGAAGGGGTGAGGTGTGGCTCCATGGAGGTGAGGGTGAAGGTGCAGGAAGGGAGGAGGATGGTAACCATATTCACATTTCACTTAGCTTGCTACTCAGAAAAAGGCAGGAAATGGTTTTGTTTTGCTCCAACCCATGTGCCCACTTACCCACCCACCATGTAGAACAGTTTTTCTGTAGAGAAAGTGTTTGGAGTTTTACACATTTGACTCCTGGGTGTGACCTTTCTTGTTTGTAAGTTGGGACTTAAACAGAAAAGAGGGGTGTGGAGAGGGGATGATCTATCATGTCTCAGGTCTTTGGGGGATGAAGCCAGGCATACAGAGGACCTGATCACCCCCTACCCAGGGGTGAGCAGGTGGGTCAGCCAGAGGTGTACATATTCAATGATCTCATCAGCTGGGATTTGGCAGGCAGAGGATGTAGTGAGGACCCTGGCTCTTTGATTTTGAGGACGCAGATTGAAAGGAGCCTGGATGAAAAGTCTAGTCAACACTTGTGTGTTCAGACTTTACTAATGGAGGCTTCCCCTGAAGCCCTGCGCTGCTTCTGCCCATTCATGGGCTCTCTTTGTTGGTGGGTTCTGATGATCCCTGAGGCCTCTGAGGAGGTTGGACTGCCAGCCGAGTTTTCTGCCACTTGGACTCTTGCCCACGTGCCTCAGGTGTCTGGCCTTTACTGCTGACCCTGCCAGGGTACCAGCAATGCCTGAGGCTTGGCCAAAGAGAGAGACACTGTGCTACCTTCATGGTGTTGGTGGACCTGAGGGAAAGACAGTGTGGTTTAATGAGGTTTTGCAGCATTCATATGTAAGATCTTCTCCTACCCTGACTCTGTGCCCTCTTTTACAGCACTGTGAAATGGAACTGACACTTCTGATTTCTAGAGTGGTCATTGGACTCAAAAGCAGGGTGGGGAAGTGCTTAAGTGCTGACAAGTTTGGTTGTCCTGGTGGTATGATAGGAACCAGGTTGGTGTTTGGCCTTTTATGTTGCAGATACTGACATAAATGAATAAAATGCAGTTATGTAGAATTCCAGCTGAGTGTTGTAGAGACCGTTCATCCCATTTTACAGATGAGGAAATGGAAATGGAGAATGGTTTGTGCCCAAGGTGGTAAGTGTCAGTGTGTGCCAGGGCCTCAGCTGGGCCCAGCTGTCTTAATCAGTGGCTGACTGGCAACCCCAAGCTCATATTCCCTGTGGTTCATGTGGATCCACTGTGAGAAACCTTGCATTACAGGGCAAAGACTACTTTGGCTTTTGTATCCCAAGACATCCTCAGCCTCTCTAGGCTCTGGCTCCACGCTTTCTCTTTTTGTTTTTTTTTTTTTTTGAGACCGAATTTTGCTATCTTGCCCAGTCTGGAGTGCAGTGGTACAGTCTTGGCTCACTGCAACCTCTGCCTCCTGGTTCAAGCAATTCTGTCATGGCTTCCTGAGTATCTGGGATTACAGGTGTGCGCCACCATGCCCAGCTAATTTTTTATTTTTTATTTTTTTGTATTTTTAGTAGAGGCAGGGTTTCACCATGTTGGTCAGGCTGGTCTCGAACTCCTGACCTTCAGGTGATCCACCCACCTTGGCTTTCCAGAGTGCTGGGATTACAGGCATGAGCCACCACACCTCACTGGCTCCACACTTTTTCTTCTGTTGTCTTCTGGGTTGATATGGTTCAGACCAGTGTTTAATGAGGTTGTCCAGTGAGATTCTTTGTGGGCCCAATAAAGAAACTCCATGGGCCGGGTGCAGTGACCCATGCCTGTAATCCTAGCACTTTGGGAGGCCAAGGCGGGTGGATCACAAGGTCAGGAGTTTGAGATCAGCCTGGCCAACATGGTAAAACCCCGTCTCTACTAAAAAAAAAAAAATACAAAAATTAGCCAGGTGTGGTAGCGCATGCCTGTAATCCTAGCTACTTGGGAGGCTGAGGCAGGAAAATTGCTTAAACCTGGAGGATGGTTGCAGTGAGCCAAGATTGCGTCATTGCACTCCAGCCTGAGCAACAAGAGCGAAACTGTCTCAGGAAAAGAAAGAAACTCCATGGAGGTACTCTGTGGATACTGGCTGAGCATATCCATGGGGACTTTTGGGGCCCCAGGCTTCTATCGTTGACTAATTCTGCACTAGATAACTTTACTAGATGCCAGGCCCTCTGAGGTGAATGAGTATGGGTGCTTGGTTTTAGGGAAATGAAAACAGGCAATGACAGTTGTGAGCAGTACCTTTGATGAAGAGGGTGAAGGTGGCGGAAGAAAACAGCTAACCACCTTGATGAGGCAAGCGGACTCAGAAGGGAGGTGGTAGTGGAACCTACCACAGGGGTCAAGGGGAGCTTGACCCCTATGGCTGGGGAGCGGACCAGACCAGGAGGCCAGCTCTGAGGGCTGTCCCACAGCACGGGAGAGGGCAGGCCCAGGCCAGTGTCATCAAGGGTTTTCTTTGTACTGGCTGGTTACTCCCAGTGGGAGAGGGGCAAGAGCACATGTCCGGATCTCCCGAGCTAGCCATCCCTGCCTGTGTGTTTCCTGTCTGAATGTAGTTTTTTCCAAGGGAAGTCAGACCTTTTAGTGTTTCCTCAGCACTCCAGGCTTGCCCCAGTGTGTGGATTTCCAGGCCTCCTGCCCAGCTGGGATTTTCTGTTTCCTGTGAACCTAGGAAAAGGGCCTGCTTCACAGATAACTGGAGAAGCTGAGCTCACCCAACCCTGGGACCCACAATACCTCCACCTTCTCTCCAGACTCTGCGTATATGTTTATACAGATGCACAGGTTTCAGTTGGAGTT